GAAACACATACTAAACTACATTAATATATACGTAAATATATAAATTCGTATGTGTAAACTTTGCTGTTGCCGCTCTGCTGATCCATTTCCATTGCCCGCCCAACTGATTTGAATTTAACATTTGCATTTACAGTTGGCATCGGAAATGTCAACTACAAAGTGCACCTGAACCAAGAGGCAGCCATCGATCAATGAGGGCCAGCAAACAACGCCAAACGATTCATTAAAGCCAGGTACACAAGGATGCAGCTCGTCGACCACTTCAAATGCCGTTTTAATTGAGCTGCTGCAGCAAACTTAAGCAGAAAAACGAATGAAAACTGCAGCTCGTTAAAGTTTGTTTGGTTTCTGCATAATGATCCATAGAAAATCCAAAGCAGCGGCGAAAAAGCGAAAATGTTCGCAATAGTTTTCACAATCTGTTCAAGAAGTTAAATCGAGTATATTGGTTTTGTGCAAAAAGCGTCCATTTGTCGATTTGTGTGAGGTCGCAAAATGGAAAGAAATCTCATAAAGGAATCATTTTGGTTCAGTTCAAATCCATTTTGATTCTGTATTAAGCGCACAATCCTCTTGAGTGGACAGAAATTGCCCATAGGTCGCTGTCCGCCCAAGATATGCGAGAGAGGATATGCGCAAATAAAATGTATGTATATATACCCTACTTCCATTTATCAATACCCTACTTCATAACTTCATGGTACCATCATCATGCATATCCGAATTCGGGTCAATCGTGAAAATGGATGCCTTCATCAACCACATCACATTCTCGACTTTCAAATGGAAAATCTGCATCTCATTTAGTTAAAATAACAGTTTGAGCGTCATTGCCCCAGAGTTACAGCTGAAATTTCGCTCATCCTCAATCCAAGCGAGCTCTTTGCAAATGTTTTTAGCTAATATTATACTACCTGCAGTTGTTCTTTGTTCTTAAACATGTTTTCATCTGCAAAAGTTCTCAAACTCTTTACCAGCATATTAAAGTTAACTGCCAAGTCGAAGTCAACTCTGGCATTATCCCATGCCTTCGATAGCTCTTAATTAATCATTTTAATGAACTGTCCGACGCATAAATTGGGCTGGCCAGCACAAGGTGCACAGCATACCTTGAGGCTCAAAAATATGTAAATTCGGGGCCAAAGCTGCTTCGCATTTACGTAAATTTTCAGTTGCTGCAACTAGCATAAATTTGGAAATCCACGTGGCATACTTGGGGACGACCAAGCGCCTGCGGCAGAGGAAAATTATGCGCAGCAGGCTGCGCTGTCGCTCATTTAACTCAGTTACGTGAAAGTTAAAAAAAACCAGCTACTGTCTTGTATTTTATAACCGAATTTAATACATACTCTCTCCGATAATTATATTGACACAATTTGCACAATGGCGGTGGTTGTGCTGTCAACATTAAATACGGGGTGGATATTCTTATCTAGCCGCAAAATAAGGTGCCGGCAGCCACGTGCTCACTAATGAATCCCCCAACAACAACGACAACAGAAGAGCGACGTTAAATGGCACAGCACCCACCAAAAACGCCCCAAGAAATACGCATTGCTATTTACAGCCGTGCGGCTAATTTCCACAACAACAGCAATGCAAAGAAAAGCAAAAAGGAAATGGAGCAGAATGTAAAAGTAGCTGCTTGCGTCACAACACCTTAATGCAGAGTATACACCCCTTGCTGTACACTCAGATACCCTGAATTCTTCGCACTTATTATATATTATATGCGATATAAGGGACTTAAGATCAAGAATAAATGTTTAATATGGTGTTCAAGTGTCGTTGTCACGTGTGCTAACTATTAGCCAAAGCAAGAGAAAGCCCAGATAGGAAAATACTGTTTTACGAAACTTTTCTATAAGACATTGTTTTGCCCAGTCCAGTCTCTTAGTTTTTAAGCTATTTTAAAGTAAATTAGCTTTGATACCTTATTTTTTATTGCCGGCAGGCAAATGTGGGAGACGGACGGATCGGAGCACTATATAATATAGTTGTCGTAAGAAGGATGTCTTATTTTGATAGCAACAAAATAGTTGTATAAACGATAATGCTTTTGTGATGAAATAGTACAATAAAACTCTATTCTAATAAAGATAAAATTAGAAAATTATATTTATTTAATTTTAGTGTTTAATAGTGTTTTGGTCACCTTCAATAGCTTCCCCCTATTACAAAGTTGATTTAAATTGAAAAATGCCGTTCACATGAGTGCAAATTGTTCAGCTGCACGTTCTGGCATCATTCTGTAGATATGCGGACACCTTCAGCCTGACTGTCATCCGTCGGAAGCCAATGCGACGTTTTTTCCGCTGCCTTAAAATGCGACATCCTTATACCAGCAGATTTCAATTATGCAAAAAGATTTGCGGACTTACTGGACGTTTTGATTGCATGAGCCGCGCGGGGCAAATCTGTGGCTTGGCCTCGGAGAGACAGGCTGGCATATTTACTTTTAATTTTCATTATTAATTATGCAATACTTTAGCGTAAGCCTGAGCAAATGTTGACACCACAGGCAAATTATGTTTGGCTATAATGGTGAGCATAAATCAAGCGACTGCTGGCAAGGATTAGCTTCTGCTAGTTTATATTAAAAACTCAGCGTTATTATGCCAATAAGCTAAATTGTTTACGGCCGTCAGGCTGAGCTGGCCAATTGCAAATGGCAGACAAGCATTTTGGGAACGTTAATCATTCGCATGTTTCGTGACTCGACCGGCGAACAAATCGTTATAAAATTCGTGTGCAGTCAAGCTTGGCCAGTTTGGGGTGCCTGAAAGTATGCCACAAACAATGACCAGAAGCTAAACAATGCATGGCTTGCCGAAAACACAAAGACTTGCTAAAAGCTAGGAAAGCCAACCACAATTGATAAATCACAGCGGACACTGTGCTCAGGCCCCACGCATATTGCTAGAATACCAGAAATCAGTTACAGCCGAGCTCTATTATTTACACACAATCAGCATAAAAAGCTGATGTTTTGATAGTGAACAGAACTGAAAATGGAAAAGAAACCCAACAATTGGCGAATCTAATTCGCAGAGGACTGCCAAAGTATTCATAAACTTCGACTGTGGAAAATGGCAAAAGCTAACCTTGCTGAGCGCGGCTGCTCTGGCTTATCGCTGATAGCAAATCAGCTGAAAGCAGTGGAGCAAGAATCAAAATAGTTCCGCATGCCACAAAGCAGAAGTTCAAATAAGTTACAGTGCTCCAGCTGGCGGTGTCCAACTAGGAGATACCCTGAAGCTAGCTCCGAGCTGCTAGTTTAAGCATTTGAAAGGAGGATTTCGGTGAATATAATATTTACCAATTGTGGAAGCGAGTGTATACTCCGTATGTAACTAGCTGCTATTACAATGACTCAATCCTATATTTATCGATGTAATAGAAAAGGAAGGAGCTGTTAAAAAAACAATAATAAACTTGTTCTGTGCCTAATATTTAAGAATATATATTATTAATTTATATGTCTAGCTTCTGTAGTTTCCACGATTCAAGAAACTGACAGACAGACGGGTAGATCAACTCAGCTCGACAAAAATATATTAAAAATGTTTCCTTCTGGCTGTTACATACAAATACCCAAAGGGGTTATACCCTATTAGCACGTTTCCAAGGACCAGGGTAAAGAAAAGCTGAACCAATTGAAATTTTAAGCACAGAAAGGGTCGGAAAAACTTTGCGACAAAAGTGAAAATAGGAGTGCATATGAACAGAGTATCATCGTAGAATGATAGCGCTCAATATGATAAATAACAGATGAGCAAAGAGTGTCAGCAATGTTGAAAGGGGGAGAGTCGGGTTCATTTCTTGTTGAAAGTATGTTAGCGAACAAACATATGCCGAGACTATTCTTTAAAAACAGTGCCAGGCGACAAAGAAGTCAAAAATGCGATAGCACTGTCTCACAATTCCAAAAATTGACTTACAAGTTAAAATATTTAATCTCGATGTCACTTTAAATATTATAAATTATATAAATCACCCTGCGTCACTTCAAACCAATTTCTTGCCCATGGTGCTTTCAATTATATATATAGCTACAATAGCCAAATTTTTACTTTGAATACCCTATATACTCGGCATATATGCCGACATAAGACATGTCGCATGTTGCAGCCATAAGTTAGGCATCACTTTGAGCTCTTCATATTTGTCGCCTGCACAGAGCGCAGCACAGGTCTCTTTCTTTAGCATGTCCCCAGCTGCAGCTCCTGGCAATATTTTGAAAATACATTGACTGTGAGAATGTCATGAATATTAGATTGCGATGATTGCCTTTGGCTATGTGTCGTCATCGTCATACCCTTGTTGTCTTTACCCAACTCGACCAGGTTTTTGTGCTTTTACCTTTACCGTGCTGTGCATTGACAGAGTTTGCTTTGGTTAGTTGCCGTTGATAAGCTTCCTGCGTTGATTCAGTTCGTCACTCGTCGAGCTTAATTAAATGCACGTTAATTAAGTCAAATATTAAACAAAGCTTCTGGCCATGAATGCATGCCTGGAACGTCAAAGCTTGTATATGTGCTTTGGTAGATAAACAAAGGGGAACTGAGACGGTTAAAGAAAAAAGAATCAAAATCAAGTTCAGTCCCCTGTTTGAGACCAAAAGATGCCCTATACTCGGCGTCGAGCTGCCGTACAAAAAAAACAAGTAAGAGGTTCTAGTCGGGAGCTCCCGACTAGGGGATACCCTGAACCCTCTTCTTCCAACATCAAATGCATGTATTTATTCTATTTTAGAAGCTATATGTCAAGTTTGGGGACTCTAGCTCTTATTATTTACCAAAATTGCTGGTTGGTTGATACTCATCAAAATAAAGAATAGAATATATTTGAATATTTCGCAGTTTTGTTCAGCATTGGTTTTTTTTTTTTTTCAAATGTTTATTCAGTTAGAACTAAAAAGTAACTGAGAGATCAACTTTCTGTGTGTTTTTGGTGTCAGGACATTGAATTTGATGTCAGTGAGTTTCAGTTACAAATTATTTGTACACCAAAAACAATATATTTAGCAAAAATAAAAAAACGAAAATTCTAAATTATTTAGTTTTTAGCCATGATTCGAATTTCCAGCTGTTTGCCCGTTGTGCTGAAAAAAATGTACAATTCAAAGATGCGTGAAAAAAAGCGAAAAGTCAATCCAGCCAATTCCGTATATATTTTAGAGCGAATTTTAAAATTCCTTAAGGAGAATCAAATTTATTCGCAAAGTTTTACCAACCAGGTAAGAATTTTGCACATGCACTTTACCAAAAATTCATTCGTTTTTTTTTTTAAAAAAAAACAGATCTTTGATCATAATTGCATTGAATCTAAATAGTATTGAAATCCCGTTATCAGGTAAGAGTATGGTATTATATAATTGGCTTGTTAATTTAAATGCAATTTATTCAACAGGAACACCTGTGATCTTTATTGTGTTAAGAGTATTTCGCGTTTCTTTTGGTTACTTGCAGTGTATTTTTTGATTTTCTTTTACTTTTACATCTAAATCAAACTGTATGTATACATGTAAAAGCAATGGAAAATATTTAAATACAGTCCAGTAAGGGGCACATTGCAAGGATTTGTTTCAAAGATACACTTTTGTTGCAAACGCTTTTTCTCATCACTTTGTGGTATTATATTTTAGGTAAAAAATCCAGATTAATCATTGTTAAGCTCAAGTGAGTGGCAGAGATGCACAAACCGTAGTCGACGAAGAAAACTCAAAATACCTGGCATATAACATTTATTACGTCGGAGGTGCCACGTTCATTGCGTTATATATTTCGTAAATGGAAAATTATAATACCCTTGACAAGGCTTCTATAAAAACAAAGTTTATTCCTCATCCGCCCACGACAGGCCCCCGCAACACACAAGTGTTTCCAGCACAATTCTATGGCTGCTTATTAACCAAAGGGATGTTCTTTGTTCTGTAATAGGCAAAGGCCTTTTCATCTACAGGATGAGCTTTATATACAACACACGCTGAGTAGACATACATATATAAACATTTTGCAAGCTAACTTTTCTTGTGGCTGTTGTAGCTCATAAGCTTTTGAAAGGCGACCTGAAAAGCAACTGTAATTGAATTTTTCATTGTTTACAAACAAATTATTGTTGGCTGACAAAACAGTTAGGCTAACAATATATGGAGCCTATGCCCTTTTGTAGTAGTGACATTTATGTCACATTGCTTTAGACGACAAATAAAAAACGAATGATATAAATAAATGGGCATTATGTATCCCAATTTAAGAATATTTTCTTGTGATAAATAAATGGCATTTATTTAGCTACTTTTATATTATTAAGGTCGAAGTTGCATCTCTTGCCTGGAACTTGCTTGTCATTCACTTTAAAGAGATTAACTCAATTACGTTTATTGCATTAAAAGTGTGTAAATGGATTTTTAAAAAGTCCTTAAATGTACACATGCGCATGCTTTAAATTAAAATGTGGCCAATGTGTGGCAGCGACGGCAGAACGAACTGAATTTAACATAAATGTCACGGCAGGTGTGACACATAACCACCTTGCTGAAGTTGGCTCACAAGCACTGACAGCCGGAAAGCAAATAAAATGCCACGGACAGAATTCTGATACAGTGCAATATAAACTGGAGTCTCAAAAAGAATGCAATTAAAGTCCCATCCAATCAGTTCGTAATAACACATCAGAAATAAAAAGCAAAAGAAGTTAAAAGGACATAACAATCGCACAATTCGGGTTCCGAGATGAATGGCAATTAAGCAAAGCATTAAAATGATTTAAAAATTTAAAAACATTTAAGAATCGCTCTCGTTTTCCCCATATCATTAGTAACAAGTTAAGCTCTAAGCCAGCTGATGTGAGAACCCAGCACAAGTTGGTCATAATTTATGTATAAGGCAAGACTTGAAGTCGGTCACCATTTAATGTTCATCCGCTCAGCGAGAGCAACACGACGATTACCTGCTAAAGACAGTCAGTCAACATTATTGAATTCTAGATACACAAGCACCCACACACAGGCCAACACACACCGAAACACATAAACAGGTACTTCATAACTGGAGGATGGCCAAATACAGCCCCAACCCTGCGCTTAGGCAGCGTGGGAGCACCTGATCCCCTTATGCCATCGTACACCCAGCTACTCACACGCACGTACACATAAGCACAAACACGCACACATAAGCACAAACACGCACACATGGTGACATAAGTGTCATTGCTGTTGCCGTGCTCAGTTATTTATGATAATTCAAAGTAATATCCTGCAGCAATTTCATCAACAAAAGCTGAGAGGCTAAGTCGACGGCAAGTAGATGTGTAAAAGCAAATATCCTTTATGGATACCAAGGACACGCCTCGGGTCTCTGGAAAATGGTCTTGACGTGCGAAACGTGCAAATGCCTGTGTGAAAATTGCAAATTTGTTTTTGTATAATTGGTTGTGGCAGCAACATAAACATCCTCTATTCATGCCACTACCAGCCCGCAAAACCCGCAAGTGCTCGCCAAGTGATTGGCTTTTATTTGCTACATTATATTTGAAGCATTTCAAATCAAATATAAATTGCAATATTCCTGAGCGTTCATTGGTAGACAAAAGGGTACTCAGTTTGTACAAAGAGCAGATCCTTATATATTTTATATTTATTACAAGATACATAAAACATATATTAAATATAATGTGACGACCACCAGCGTGTTGAATGTGTACCGAGCTATGATCGATAGCCTTGCAGGCTTAAAGCAAAATGCATCGTACAATCCTCGTTCATATAAAAACGTATGTAGGACAGTGAATCTGAGGATATAAGCCTCAAATTCGCAAATTGCCCTACAAGTGCAGAAGTACATATATATATATATATACACACGTATGTGCATATAGATCATTTGTTCTCTGGACAAGCCAGTTGGTATAGGAACTGCACCAAGGTACGCGTGGGTCGTCCGGTCATTCGCCAGCTTTTTAGATAGGGTATGAGTCCATAATGGCTGAGCATACCGGAGCCACGCGTATCAATATGCGCCCAATCCGCGCAGGGCACCAATTCGTGGAGAACGGCTGCCGCCAGACAGGAGCTAGCCAGGCCACGACCATCGTTGCTAATATCGTAGCCAAGCTCATCGGTAACTTGCTTTTTGTAATACTGCCACAACGGCAGGCGCCACATTCTATCACCCGTCAGAGAGCCGGCGCGCTGGAACTGCTTCCAGATGTAGTGCGAATTGGAGAAGAGGGCGGAAGCGCCGCCACCGAATGCCTTTTTCGCACCTGTGCCAAGCGTCGCCACATCGACCACCAGCCGAGGCTTGTACGTCTTCTGGCCATAGATCAACGGGTCGGCCATTACAACAACTCCCGCCTTGTCCAGATCTCGTATGGCCAACGACTTGGCATTAAGCAGGGTGCAAACATCGCCTGGCTTTGTAGACATGCCCGAGGGCAGATTCTCGCACAGTGGAACGATAAGAACCACATTAATAGGCAGCGACAGAGCCGCAACGCAGCGCAACATGGCCACACAAGATGCGGCACCAGACATGCCCGCCCGATACTCATCCATGTCTTTGCAGGGTCGCAGATTGATGCCTCCCGAGTTAAATGTGATGCCTTTGCCCAAAAAGAGCACAGGCTTGTCCTCTGGTGCAGTGCCGCAATAGCTAATCTCCATAAGGACCGGCGGCTCGCACGAGCCCTTCGCTATCATGAGAAACGAGTGCATCCGCTGTTGCTCTATCCAGTCCATGGTACGTATCTCCACGGTTATGCCGCAAGGACATAAAGCATCCACGGTGGCCTGAGCGAACAACGTAGGCGTCATGCAGTTGGCAGCCGCATCACTCAAGCGCCGAGCCAGATTTTGCGATTCCGCCTTGAACAAGCCACGCGTCCAGCCGTCTACATCGTTTGAGTCGTACAATTCCAGCTTTGGTACCGTCAATCGATATTCTTTATTCAGCGTTTCCGTATATTGCCAGACCGATAAGACTGAACCCTCAGCCGCTTGCTCCGCATAATCCATGCTATCGACATAGATATCAGTGCATCGAAGCCTTTGCAGGGATTGGGCACCAATGCCAGCAGCAATGCGCACATTCTCCATTCCTTCGTCCAGCATCTCAAGCTCGTTAAAGCCGATACCCTCCAAGCCCACCCCCACCACGGCAACGCTCGTAAATTCTTGATCAATATTGTTGAACACCTTGCCTCGCCCCAGCCGACCATCGATTTTCGTTTCGCATATCAAATCCATCAGCTTGCCATTGATGCGATCGTTAAATTTCTCGGCGCTGTGGGTTAGCTTGGCATCCTTTACACCCTCCTTCTGGTAAATGCCAAGCACTAGACCCTTTGCTCGCTGCTCCTTGCCGCTGCAGGAGAAACGAATGGTAGTAACTATGGGGACTCTATTAAAACTGGTATTGCCGAAAATTCTTCGCGCACACTGCATCTTGAATGGATACGATAATTTCGTTGCACTTGAAATTTACAAGATCTTTTTCAAAAAATTAACAAATTGCCTTTATAAATACACAGAAGAGACAAAAACTAAAATATACACACAATAATTTAGAAAAACACTTTTTTTTTTTTCAAAAATATCACTGAGCAAAACAACAATACAAGAGCAATGTTTACATTAAACTAACAAAAAATCATTAGAAACCAGGCGTGTGACAGTTTAACCATTTGACAATTTTCTGACCGATTGCTGAGTTTTCTAAAATATATATTTCTATTTCTTTCGACTGACTGACTTTTTGTGGATTTTGAACAGCTTACATTTCTGTCTTGTAGGACTCTCAAGCATATATAATGGGCTTTCTTAATTCCGATCTCAAAACATTTATTGTATGTGCTGTAAAATATTCCAATTTTGTGTTGTAGTATGCCACAAAAAATATAGGGATCGGAATAATTAATTTCTGGGTCATCTCCCATTTTGATATAACCTTTCAGTGCAGGAGGTTCTAGAGGTAAAAGCGCTTCTTTTTTTTCTGAGCAAGCAGTCGTTCTTAAATGCCTTCATGGCGACTTTTACCTTTAAATTCTGGGTGTAATATTAGGGATTTCGATTATATGAAGATAAACTTAATTTAGATAAAGGAAATATGCAGTTTTTTCGATTTTTGGGCATACAAGTGGGCGTGTCGACCCTAAAAGAATGATGTGTGTAACATCATTTTTATTATCGTTAGTTTTAAAACTTTTGGAGGCAACGAGTGCCCGATTTATCTACCTCCCGCTGGGCGTGGCCAAAAATCAGAAAAACCATTTTGAATGTTGAAATTTAATACTCTTCATTTCCATATGGTGAGCAGAGTGTAAAATCAACAATTGGTGCCTCAGTTTTTTAATTAAACAGTTAAATATCTATCAATTAAATGGTCTCTAGTTAGTTGGATAATAATAATCTCGGTGGGCGCTAATTAAACGCAACTAATTACTTTAATTAGTGCAAATGAGCTGATAAACAACACACTGATTAAGTGAATTGCATCGATTTCCATGTTAATTGATATTATCAATGACTGTTCCCGTAATAGGCGGCAATTTTA